GGAGGAGGAGGGTGGTGGTGGTGGTGGATGTGGAGGAGGGTGGTGGAGGCGGAGGTGGTGGATGTGGAGGAGGAGGGTGGTGGTGGAGGTGGTGGATGTGGAGGAGGAGGGTGGTGGAGGTGGTGGATGTGGAGGAGGGTGGTGGAGGCGGAGGTGGTGGATGTGGAGGAGGATGGTGGTGGTGGAGGTGGTGGATGTGGAGGAGGAGGGTGGTGGATGTGGAGGAGGAGGGTGGTGGAGGTGGTGGTGGTGCATGTGGAGGAGGAGGGTGGTGGAGGTGGTGGTGGTGGATGTGGAAGGTATCACAGAAGGCTGCTGCTGTTGGGGCTGCTGCTGCTGCCTTCAGCCAGCAGATAAAACGCTGACTGAGGCAGCGTTTTATTCTGTTTTATACTAAAGCATAAAACGCTGCCTCAGTCAGCGTTTTAAGGGATGTTATGGCCTAACACAAAAACGCTAACTGAGGCAGTGTTTTTGTGTATTTCCATTTTTTTTTTAAAAATTTGTGTTTTAACAAAATACGAATTTTTTTTTTTAAAAAAAATAACAAGAGTAAAACGCTGACCGAGTCAGCGTTTTACCTCAGAAGCTTATTTTCGTAAATAGTTTGGCCACGAGTCTATATTTATAAATAGTTTACTAATAAGGCTTACTTTCGCAATACCTTCCTATCTCGCAAATTCAGACTAGACCAATTGAGATTCCAGCCTATTAGGATTCTCTCCTTAGTTACAAAAAAAATAAAAAATAAATAATAAAAATTTATAAAACACACGTCAATCCTGTAACTCTGTAAGTTACCCTTCCATGCCGGTTTTGACATGTGGAGAGCGACTAAGCGGTGCGTCCTCAAACCGTCATACACCCTCCAATCCACTCTAAAATATACTCCTCACATTTTTGTTGGGCAACGTACTCATACTTAATTTTAGGTAAACCAACTAAATAAAACTTCACCACTCAAATAAAAAACTATATACTATACAATATACTCGGAATACAAAATTATTCATCATTACCCACGTAATACAAAGTTGCTTAAATAACAACAATTAACTCCGATACTCCAGAAAACCCATTTGCATCAATGAAGACCGCCTCTGATAATACTAATAACAACAGAAGAGGGAGAGAAGGCAAGAAGAAGAGGTCCGAGTCGAACGAGCCAGACGCGCCGGGTTATCATAAAGAGGTTGTCGAAACTCGAAGCGAATCATGCTAGCTTGAAGGCCAATTTTACGAGTTAGCTCAAGAGTTGAGGTGTTCCTCGAAGAAGAAGAATGATTCGAGAAGAGAGGATCGAGCGGAGTGGCTTTGGGGTCCTGCGTTTACGGGGAACTTTGATAATGCTTATGGTCGTGTGTTACAATCGTTGGGTCATGCTTTACTTGTTAGCTCTATTTCGACGGGAAATATCATTTTCTGGTTAGTACTATTTACAAACTTTACTTTGATTATCGTCGTTGTCTATGGTTCAAGTGTTTGGTTTGTTTTAAGTTGGGGTAGGGGTGATTGAAAGAAACAAACACGTACATCTTAATTTCAACTTTACTATAGGAGTTTAAGCGGATTGATGATTATGAAAGCACGTATTAATTACTCCGTCCGTCTTAAATTAGTGAACTAAAGTTGATAGCTAAATGAGAAAATGAAATTTGGGCAAACAATAGTATGAGGAATTGAGGAGGTGGGAGGATTACCAAGTCCACTTTATGCCTTAGGTCCAATTTCTTTTCGGATATTATTGTAAAGTCGGTATTGGATAATGTATGTTTTATGGCTATATATAGATTTTCACACACATCATATCAAAGGAAATATTTTTTTAGTAATACTCCTTGATGAAGAATAGACCTCTTAAAAATCACCACATGTAAGTGTTTCACGTTAGTTGAATATAAGAAAGTTAATCACTTTATAAGGTTAAGGGGTTACTCCTCCTATTGTCATATAGTTTTGGGATGGAATTTCTTTTAGACTTGTGAAGTGGACTCTCTCTCCTGAATTACGGTTGCGGCTAGACCTGTATTTAACACTCCTAGACCCTAGTTCTATATACTAGTACTATTAAAAGCAAGGGAAATACTTCTAGCTAGGATATGCTAAGTCATGAAAACTTTGTATTTCCGTTGGAAGTTGAAAATAGAAACCTTGGTATGCAGCAAAATGGTAAAAATTGTTAAAGTAGTTGTATATGAAAGATGCCTTAATGCCTAAAAGGTACTCCCTATTTGGAAAATTGAAATTACTATTTCTTAAACTAGCTATCCAATACTTGTATAGTTGTATACAATTATACGGAGTATAATTGGTCAAGACATGTTTATTCTTTTTCTTCGTTCCTTAAATATTGTCCTATTTATTTTGGGTGTGTATTATATTATATTTATCTCATATTTATTTTATCTCTCCTGTACGAAGTACATGGTAGCATGTTTTTCTAATTGCTTTCTTTTATTCTTATTCTTGTGTGCACAACTTTGACAATGTGTATAATTTTGTCCAATCTTTAATGAAGTAAAATTATAATATGGGACATAACTTTTAGAGGCCGACAATGTGAATGACAACTAGGGATGTCAATGGGACGGGTTAAATAGGAGACCCGCCCCATCCCTGCCCCAACGAGGTGGGGATGGGTCTTGGTTTGGCGGGTGATGGGGCGGGGATGGGGAAAAAAATCATACCCGCAATGGGTGATGGGGCGGGGGTGGATTTTAGGTTGTACCCGCCCCATCCCCGCCCCGCCCTACTTCGTACCCGCCCCACCCCTACCCGCCCCACTTCGTACCCGCCCCATCCCCATCCACCCCACTTTGTACCCGCCCCATCCCCACATCCATGTATTTTTAAAAACAAAATTATATACTTTTATACTATTTTATAAAAAAAAATTATGTAAAATAAAATAGTATATTATAATACTTTGTAATACACTTATATTATAAACAAAAAAATGTGTTTTATTAACAATGATTTTTTTCTTTTTGCAATCTTTATTAATTGTGAAGGATTGTGCATTTGGGAGGCGGGGATCAGGCGGGTCTTAGGTGGGGATTAGGTGGGGGTGGATATCTAAGTGGGGGTTGGGGCGGGGATGGTTTTGGAATTGTACCCGCCGGGGCGGGGATGGGGATGAATTTTAGACCCGCCGCGGGGATGGGGATGGGTATGAAAATTTTAGATGGGGATGGGAAGGCCGAAATCCGCCCCGTCCCGCCCCATTGACATCCCTAATGACAACACAAATCCAATCTTCATTTGATAATTTTATACTTTCGTAATACTTTACTCTTTAATTTATTGACTCTAATGAGTATTGATTATGGTTTTGTTGGTTTGGTTGAGAACTTGAGATAAGTATAATTTTATAATTTATAGTATCTAACTATCTATTTTATAATAATATATACTTGGTATTCTTATTTTGCTGAAATCCTTTGAATTTTACTTTTTCTTTCTTTTTTAAAAAATAATTCATAATTATAGAAACACATTTTAATAATTTGAGGGAACGAGGACTATGTCATAAAAATAACATTTTTTTTGGTTCATAAAGCAATGGTAGTTGAATGTTGTTGGATTACAAAGTATGTTGATATTTTGTAAGTAGTATAAAGTAATGTTGAGTGTGATTTTCGATGAAAATTACTTAAAATATATTACGAATTGAATAGTGCTACCCTTGGATGGTACAACACACTAATTAAGCTAAAATAAACAAAATCCTTCAAGATAATTCCAAAAAAAAAAAACACCAAAAAAAACACAAAAAAAACCCTAAACTGATCACACATCCACACAATTTATGTAGCACTACAATGTAATCTTTAAAGTAACAACGTGAGACATCTTCACATCTTACGATCAAACCATAAATAAAGTGAAATAAATCATAAGATACAAGTTTAGAACCCATTCTAATAAGACCATGGAAATAAAGTGAAATAAATCAATCTTTCAATGACTAAAGGAGGAGTCTATTTCATTTTGTTTGCTTGGTGTAGAACTTTCCATTGGTGTCTCTTTACTCCCGTTAAAAATACTCCTTACAATTGTACAAACTATTTTCTCCCTTATTAGTACTCTGTAAGGGAGAGATCACATGTGTGAGCCTTTGGAATTCTCGCACAATCTTTATTGGGTAAATACAAGTAAAGAGGAACAAATTAATCTTAATCACAATTTTTTATAATAAAATTTTGTGGGTTTTTAGATTTTAAAATGAAAAAGGTGAGGTGAAAAAGTGTTTGACTCTTCATGACCAAGAAAAGGTGTCTTGAGAAGTGAATATAATACGAGTAGGGCACAAAAGCGCTTTAGGAGTAGTAAGATTCAAATTAAAAGAAAAAAAAAAGTGAATGATGCATTTTAATTAAGGGCCGCCAACCGTGTACTTAGGAGACACCGAAGTTGATATATGAGTGGCCTCACAGCCACTTATGGTTGGTGTTTGTTTGATAGGTTCAACTTGAGAGCTGGATTCCAATCTCGTACTCCGTGGGTGTTATGACTTGTATTTGGCCCGCAATTACTGAGCTCAAATGACCCTAACATAACCTACACCATTCATTTCATTTTGTTGAATTGGTTTTAAATACTCCATAATTATGAAATTAGTACAATTAACACGCGCAACATTCGTCATATCTATCTAGTTATGTTACATATTTAGTTGTTAGCGGCATTGATGAAAGAATTATCGATGAAGGCAAATGCGTAGCAAGTGAATGAACCTTTTGAGTATAATTGTCCAACATTGTTCATAATAGTGATCTCAAATTTTTTTAAAGGTAAGGACTCATGTGGGTTTTTTTTTTAGTAGATATGTTAGAAAAACATGTACACATGCAGAAACTTTAAAACATGAAACACGGTTAACAAAAGAAACTAAGAGAGTATTTGATCATGTCGGTTTCATCTTTTGCTAAAAATCTTAATGGTAAGTTCTAATTCACTTTATTTTTGTTTATATGAATACATCTAAAATTACATTAATTGTATATAAAAAGAATTCAAATAGAGAAATAATGACCCAAAAAGACTTTAATTTGTTATATTAATACCTCTAACATAACATCTACTTTAGAAGTAGAACAAAAAAACTCCTAACCAAAGTCCATAAAAACCAACAAAGTGTTAGCTCATTTGGTAAGATTTTTACCTTAGATATTAGAAGTGTGGGGTTCGAATCCTACCAAGTGAGAGTACATGGGGTAAGGATTCCCAAAAATCCGTGAGCATTGAGGTCTGATCAGATCCCCCTTACCTTTAAAAAAAAAAAAAAAAAAAAAAAAAAAAAGTTAAAAGTAGAAATACAATAATAATATTCCCAAACCTTGCCGCCTTTAAGGTTAAATCTACTCCATATGAATCCATCCGGCCATCCCCATCCGAATTGCTTGTTTGTTTTTAGGTATCGCATGCCACACGTAAATCTCTAATTGGCTCCCTACTCAAACAATTTATTTTAGTACAAGTTGATGTACTTCTAAAATTTAACAACATTAAATTTGTACGTCTCACTTAATTTTCTCAACTCATCCAACAAGCAATTTGATTTATTAAACACAATTATTATTTAAAAATAAATTATTTATTCATAAAAAAATAAGTCCCATTTTTTTGCAAGTTGCATAGAAGAGAGTGAAAAAAAAGAGAGGTCATTATGCCCAGAAATTTCCCTGCATTTTCACAACTACCATCACCGGTAAAAGATATTCCGGCGAGGAGAGAGAAAATATGGGCTCCGACGAGTCAAACCCGGCTTTACTCAGAATTCTTGTCAACAAATGTGCCGAGTTAGAAGCCGGTCAAACCAGTCTCAGATCAAAGCTTCACGAAGTCGTTAAACATGATATTAGTAATTATTCTAATATTAAGAATAGTAATATTCCGGGAAGTAAACACGGTGTGACGTCATTTGCCGGCGGGATGACGTTTCCTGGCAACTTCAGAGATAGTAATCCGTATAATCACGTGCTTCAGTCGATTAATCATGCTGTTCACGTGACTTCGCCTACTTCAGGGGAGATCATTTTCTGGTATTTGGATTGACTTTTTTTTTTTTTTGTTTTAATATGTTGTTTTTATTTTTTGGTGGGTTAACTTGGTTTATGATTTGGATAATGGTAATATAACACGACGATTGGAGTGTGAATGTTTGAATTTTTTTTGGTGTTTCTAAATTTGGGTATTGTTTGAAATTAGGTAATTTCTATATATAGATTATTGTATTAGTGATTTGTTGTTTCTATATTTGTGTTGTATTCTTGTAGTAGTATGTCGAAATGGCGAAATCATATTATGAAGGATTAATTTCAGATTTTCAGGGCTAGAAATGAATATTTTTGTACTCAACGACTTCAATTACATGGTGATTTGGAGATGTTGTTTTTGAGGTTTCAGCTTGGCGATAACTATACATCTTTGATGTAGCTGATTAATGTTATTGCTTTTATTGGTGTCAAAAACTAACAAGGATCGATTTTTCGAGTTTTCCGATTGTACTCTCACTAAGATATGATTTTAGAACACAAGGATGAGGAGTGCTAGTTACTAATTGAAGGAAGGAAGTATTAGATTTGAGATTTGACATATATGATTTTAGTACATAAGGTTTTGGACAATTTTTGCCAAGTTAAGGAGTGCTAGCTACTAGTTGAAGGAAGAATTCAAGGGGCTCAATACTTTTCAAGCCTTAAGTCTTTGGCAATGGCATTTCAGTTAACTGTTATATGAGTAATACATAAATGTGTTGTGCTACTCGTGTTCCTGGCTAAGGGGAACAAATTTATCTAATGCGAATAAAGGTGCTTATATGTGTATATTGTTTCAAAAAGCACTGCAGCAGCTGAAATTCTTCTACTTTGACTACCACCAGTCTTTTGTTCATAAAATATAATGTACTTTTTAATGGTTTCATAAATTTGTGTCATATAGACCTGCAATAATGTGTAACAGGAACCATGCTGCAGAGAAGCTTTATGGATGGAAGGACTATGAAGCAACAGGGAGACGTTTTTCGGAGCTTATTATAGAAGTAGAGTATGTTCCATACATCGAGAAAATCAGGGAAAAGTTGCGCTTTGGCCATTCATGGTCAGGTCAGTTCCCTTTTAAGAAGAGGTCCGGTGAAGTTTTTATGGCACTAGTGACTGAGAGCCCGTTATATGAGGATGGGGAGCTTGTTGGCGTTGTTACTGTTTCAAGTGATGCAGCTGTTTTTAATAGCATTAGATCAAACCAGCCTAGGGTACCACGGGGTAACATGAAAAAGATTCAGTGGCAACAAAGACCACAGATTGCATCAGTGCCACAGATGGCTTCATCTATTACGGATCTGGTGCTTATATGTTACTACAACATAGTACATACCGCTTTTCTTCATTCCTTGTTTTCTCTTGTTCCAGTTGCTGAAAGAGTGATGATGTGACTAATTAGGCCTCGAAGGTCCTTGGGCGTATGCGCGGAGATGACACTTCCAGAGATGGAGAGGGAGTTGTTTCGGAAGCTGAAGATATGAATCAAGATAAGAAGGAAGCTGATGTATGCGTACTTGTCTTGTCAATATCCTATGTCTATAATGATGATGCTTATATGTATAAATACATTTTGTGCTAAGCTTTTAGCGGTGATTCTTGCTTGCAGATAGCTAAGAATACAGGCGAAGGTAATAGCTCTCATGAAGAGGAATCTGTGATGGCTCAACCTGCAAAAATGGTATACCCCTGCCCTTTTTCATATAATCCGTGTATATACATATTATAGCCACTAGAGTATTAGTTTAACAGTGTTATGCAACGTATTGGCCTTCCAACTTTAGGAACTTATTCCTGGTTCATGTGTGAATTTTTTCAGTGTTTTTGCAAATGTCAGAAACTTCACTTCTACAAGTCTAATCTATTATGCAAACATTACAAATATCTAGGGGATGCACAGTATGAACCCTTGTGTTTATGATTGTGCTCCGCTCCCTTGGTCCTTGTTCTTCAATAAACCAATACTTATGCTTTGACTGTAACCTCTGTTATGTTTGGCTTGATAAAGAAGTTAGATGTGAATATTTTGTGTGGTATCAAAACCATATGTTCTTTATTTTCTAAAAGTTTTCCTTAGTGATAATTATTTTTTCAGGGAAGTAGTGTTACAGCCTGAGTAGACTGTTTGGTTAAATTTCGAGTTTGTGTAAGGCAGGTCTATTTATGTCATTAACAACTAGCAATGATATGGGTAATTCAATGGATTTCTGTGTGTTGTGATAAATGGGATTTCATTTACTACAAGTACAAATTAATCTTTATGAGTACTAAGGTGAAAGTTAGTATTTGATCCGAATACTATAAGTCTTCTAATCAGTAGCCTATGCTAAATTAATGCAGGCAGCTAAACTTTTGGCGAGATTCCGAAAGAACAGTGGCAATAATGCTGAAAAAAGTGATAAAATCCCTGTACCTAACAGCCTATCGAAAAAAACTGATGATGAGTCATGTTCTACCGAAGGTTCAAAATATATTACATCAGATAATTCTACTTATGATGTCAGACTTTTTCCTTTTCCTGGTAATGGACATGTGAATGAAAATATGAAGTTCTATGATTAGAAAATTTGAGTATGCCATGAATATTCTAAATAGCCTAATCAATCAACTTTGTTGTGCCAACATTAGGTTTGCATGATAAAGATGCCAACCCTCTATTGGAAAAGCCTAAAGCTACAGAAGTAGAAGATGCTGCTTCACGTCAAGCAGGAGCCAAAAGTTCTTCAGGCTCAGGGGATAACTTGTCTGGAAGTCCTGGTAGCTCTTCAAGCAAAGGTGACAGTGAGTCAAGTCGTTCAATGGTTGATTCTGATATTCTATGGGAGGACCTTCAGTTGGGTGAGGAGATTGGTCAAGGTAACTAGATGTCTAGATCATACGGAGTATTATTTATTTCTACATCTCATCCATTTTTTTTTATGGTACAGTAGTTTAAAATCTTGCGCTGAAGTGTCATCATTAATAGACCTTTGTGTAATTTTATTAGTATTCACTTCCGGTTCCATTGTACAGGCTCATATGCTGTTGTATATCATGGACTTTGGAATGGATCGGTAAGTAATTTTTCAATCTAGAAATTAGAATGTCAAACTAATGTATTAGTGTAAAAAACAAAGGTACTTCCAAGTATAAGAACTGATTTTTTTACACAAGTCGTGCAGGATGTTGCTATCAAAGTTTTCTTTGGAAAAGATTACAATGAAGGAACTCTACTAGATTACAAAAAAGAGGTGAGGGTGTTTGGATTTTAAATACTCCTGAATCATTAGTTGAAACTCGAAACGAGCTCACTTACAATATCCTATTGTATGACATTGCAGATTTGTATAATGAGAAAATTGAGGCATCCAAATGTCTTGCTCTTCATGGGAGCATGTTATTCACAGGAACGACTTGCTATTGTAACCGAGTTTCTTCCAAGGTAATACTGAAATGTTAAAGCATGCAGATTTTTTGGGCCCTTTCTTTCCTGTCTATTAAAGATATAGCTTGTTAATTTATTATAACAATGATATTGCCTGGGTGAGAGAAAGCTGAAATGTTTAATATGTTAATACAGGCATTAAAATTTTGAGTTGTAACTCCCTTGATATTACTTCCATAATTATTTTTTTACTTAGATGATGCAAGAAATGTGCTACTTATATTCAAATTTGTTTATTTTATAGGGGAAGTCTTTTTAAGATACTTCACAGGAGCAATCAGGTTTTGGATCTCAAGCGGCGTTTGAGGATGGCCCTTGATGTCGTATGATTCTCCTCAGATAAAACATTAGATTTTTGTTGCTCATTCTTGTTTTGCAGCTTGAAAAGTATGGCTCAAACACTTTGTATGGCTGCAGGCTAGGGGCATGAATTATTTGCATCACAGAAATCCTCCTATAGTTCATCGAGACTTGAAGTCTTCAAACTTGCTGGTTGACAAGAACTGGAACGTGAAGGTATCTATTGAGAATCAAAGCAACTTATCTCTTCTTCCTTCCATTGTAGTGTAGCATTTAAGTGTCAACATCGCTCACGCTAAAGCTCTTGTTTTAGGTTGGTGACTTTGGGCTATCGAAATTGAAGCACGCAACCTTCTTAACAGCAAAGTCTGGAGGAGGAACTGTAAGATATTCGTCAAGTCAAAGTTCAGCTCTATGTCCAGTTGTCCACTATGAACACTGACTGTATAATAGGATTTGGTGGTTTTATTTAGTGTAATTATTCCTGTGTATGGTTAGCTCACTATCTTATTTGTTTGTATACTGATTCGCCTATAATTGTCATGCAGCCTCAGTGGATGGCACCAGAAATACTCCGGAATGACCCCTCCAATGAAAAGTAAATTCTTGATTCTTAAAAACTCTTTTTTATGTTCATTATGGTATATGCTTGTTGAAATACACTACCATAAGCCCTTCATGCCATTTAACAGCTCACACCATATATAATTTTCTTCAATAAGTCACTGAAAATATATTTACGTGATTTAGCTACCCTTGTTGAGTTGTTTCCAGGGATGGTCTAACTTTAGATACAGTCTCCTTGAGCAGTCCATTTAAACTTTTCCAGTATGCTACAAGTTCACATAAAGCGAGTCTCTCCATCATATACTTAACCTTCTGACTCCTCTCCAATTTAGGTCCCTTATTTGGGTGTTGATTTATAACTTTTATCTTTATTTGTGATTTGGAAAAAGATAATTTTGACATCTTATAGATGGTGAAACAAAAAATATTTTGTGGCTGTTCTCTACTCTTGTAATATTCTCTGGCCGAACACGTATCTGTATCTATCTATATTCTATACTGAAGTATTTTCTTCATGCTTATTTTTGACAGGTCAGATGTGTTCAGTTTTGGTGTCATCCTATGGGAACTGGTAACTGTAAAAATCCCTTGGGATAATCTAAATGCTTTGCAGGTTCTTGCTCTCTTCTTTCGTTCCATATGCTTTTGTCTAGAAGAAGCTATATATACACAGATGCAATCATTAGAAAAAAAAACTTCAACTATTTTTTTGTTGACCATCTGTTTTCATTTTGAAAGGTTGTTGGTGTAGTAGGATTCATGGATAGAAGGTTAGACTTACCGGAAGGCCTTGATCCTCACATTGCATCCATCATAAAGGAATGCTGGCTAAGGTAAATTTTTTTACTCTTTTCAGGTGTTTTGCTTTACTTAGTAAGACACTATGTGTCTGTATCTCTTCAACTTAAATTTCAGATCGAATCATTCTTGATCCATTAATTAAGTTCTAATTTTTTTATTTTTTTTTAAGTATAAATTATGATTAATAACTGTCTACGACCAACTCTAGTAGATCACAATAAAATCAGTTGTTTTTGATAAAATATCAGTTTATCTGTATTAGTTATTATTATTATTAACATATATGCAAGTAGCAAAAGACAATATTATACAATGCTAATGCTATTGTGCAATAATCAATGAGCAGCAAGCCAGAACTGCGTCCTTCATTTGAAAACATCATACAGAAAATGACCAGAATAGTTCAAATCACTCCATCTTCAGCAACCCCTCCTGTTCGGAAAAGTTTTTCATTACCACCATAGAAGTACACACATCACAATGCAAGAGCTTTACTACAAAGGAGTTCAGGACTGTATTTGTCTACTGCAGCCGAAATCTGCCATAGTGTATATCTTGTTTATGGCTGTTGTTGAGCTACAATTTGATTGATGGGAGTGGTAGTGTATATAGTGGTAAATTGTGCTTCAGATACCACATTACTGCTGTATTACTTGTGCAAATACTGGAAACCACTCGCTACCTACTAAATGTGCCATATATAGCAGAAAATAGTCCTAGAATTGGCGGGCATTTGTTGAGAAGGTTATAGCAGATTTCTTAGGGGATTATAATATCTGTTGCTCCCCTTCTTTTTCCTTAATTTTTTGATGATTTTTTTTTGGGGACTATGGTTTCTAGTCCTTGTTACAATATATAATTAGTTGATTGTTTGGTTAAATTATCATCCCCTATAATCATCGATTAGGAAGAATTTCTGCTTGTGTTTTCTTTCTTGTCTTTCCATGTAGAAGCAATTTTTTGTATCCGTTTCAGTCCATTGTGGATATATGCATAGGCCGGGGAGCAATTGTACGTTATGCCCCATTGTCCGGGGATCGATCCAAACTTTCAACAGTTAGGGAATGTATTTGAGTAAATGAAAAAAAAAAAAAAAAAGAGTTGAATACTCCGTAAATAGGCTAAAAAATCTTTTTGAACAGGCAGCTTATGTTAAACAGCTGCTCAAACAACTTTTATGAAGCAGTCAAATGAATCTGTTAACCACTTAACCATCATAATTGATGCTAAACAAGTCTTTAGCTGAGAATAGCTTTTTAAAATTTCCTCTCGCTTGCTTATGTAATAGCTAACACATTATTAGTGAATCATGTAAATTTGTGCATGTATTTTCATTTGTTCTTAATTAATCTTACTTGTGCTTGTCTTAACATTCCTTTTTCATGCCATTGTTTTCATAGTTTTCCATGATAAACAATATTGTGATTAAGTAATGGATTAGAAACAGTATTATTTAAGAAAGAAAAAAAAAAAAAAAAAAAAACTCTCCATCCAAATTTAAACATTGTAATGTTAATACACATCATACGTACATCAACTTCACTACTAATTTCGTAAAAGATATCATCATTACTCCAATATGTCCCTTCTCATCATTAGAAATTGTGAGTATTCGATACAAGAAAGAGGAGGATAAACTAAAATTAAAAAATATAGAAACACAAGGTCAAACGTCGGCAGGACGGCAGGTAGATTGAATATGTAGTTGAATTTGTAAGGGTGGGTGAAGTTAGGAGGGTCAATGACTACATTGCTAAGTGTTTAAGTATGATTGTTACACATTTGTCTTATGATTTGAAGATTCTAGTCTCTTTATTTTAAATACCTTTCTACCTCATACTTCGTATTTTATGTTGGCAAAAGCTAACAAACGCCTTGGGGTATTGGGATAAGATAACTACAAATAAATTTTAAATTAAAATAAACATTAATTATACTGATGAACACTTTATCCTACATTCTTAAATTAAAATCTTAAGAAAAATTTTAAATTATTGTCTAATTTCTCAAGAGCGATGTTAGCAAGATGCTTTTTATGTTATGCACAGAAAGTCAGCAATACTAATAGTATGCATTTTGCATAATTGCATACCACCGCATATTAATTAAGTTATTATTTGTATTAAATAATTTATTATGATATGATTGATATCCATGAGACCATGATATTACTTCAAGGGGGCCAATGTGATGTTTTTGAAAGAAAGAAAGCGATTGGACGGGCGTTCAACGGGCTGGGCCTAAACACAATTAACTTTTAAGGGTCATTTCAATTATATACCCCTTATCTTCATCCACATTGAAATTTCAATTGACAAGTCTTATCTTTTTTTTGTGTGAAATTTCATTAACTTTAATAATTGTTTGAAGTTGTTAGATTTTGAAAATTACAAGAAAATACGGAGTACTATGCTTTAATTTTATTCAAGAGTCAACATAATTTTCACTGATAGAGTTCTTTGATTAGCTTCAGAAAGCTCTAGTTGACAAATCTAGTGAGACAAATGTATTCTATGTTTTTTGACATTTCTTGTTGGATGGAGCCATGGAAGTTGTATCAAAATGAGAAATTTTGAACTAGAGCTTTCCAAAACTGCTTACTCCCTCCATATTTTAATAAGTGTTACACTTTAACCGACATATAATTTCTCATCAAATCGTAAAATCGAATCGTAGAATCGTAAGATTGTACCAACATGCGTAATCAAGACGTCATATCTAAATTTAATTAAATATATTTATATTATGAGTTTGAAACCTGATTATTGATTGAAAATAGTTGTTTACCCATTAAGCAACCAATAATTGACAATATATATTTATAAATAACTATATAGGCATGTTTTAAACTTGTAAGGATATCGTTAGTTAAGAGAAATATGTATAATCGGATAGAATCGTAAATCGAACCGTGTAAAATACATGAATCGTAAAATCGTAAGATTCTAAGATTTAAATCGGGATTTTAATAACAATGGTGGGTTTGGGTGGAGACCGTGAAAGGAGAAAGAAATAATATCAAAATATAGTTTTTTATCAAAAAATAAAGTATAACACTTATTAAAACACAGAGTGAGTATGTAAATTTCCTGATTACATAAATTATCATGTTAAATTCTATTATTCTAAGGCACCCCTCGTAACTAGAAAAAATTAAACTTGAAAGCCCACTAGCTGTGCTTAGTTGACAATCTTGGCCTCCTTTAGTAATTGACTTGGTCATGCCATGTCTTGCTACTCCGTATAACTTTAGCTTAAATATGAACCAATGTGAGTTGGCTAGGCCCAGCCCATGAGCTACGTGTTGTCTCATGTCATATCGAAGTTCCAAAAGGTGTTATGCGGTTAATCGGTTATGCCTACACTGGGCTGTACCATGCCTTTTGTGATGGTTCATGTAGTTGTGTTCATGTTGGTTCATGCCAAGATTGGGTAATTCACCCTATAAACGCAAGCAATTTCATTTTGTAGACGCACAATAGTAACATTCATTTTCAATTCTTTTGTACCTCTTCCACTACAACTCTCAAGTATTGTTAAACAGTACGGAGTAGCATAATTTATTTTGAAAAATCACAAAATAATTACAATACTATTATTTTAGGCTAATGTTTCTACACATTATGCAATATGATTAAGAAGCAGGGGTGGTTCTGAGCATGTGCTGGATGGTCGACCGCACAGGGCCCCTAAGTGAAACTACTATAAAAGGGCCCCGATTTTTTTAATTTAGTAACATACTTTTCCTTAAAAAATTGATTTTAGATCCCAATTTAACAAATTTGCATCGGGCCACTTTCAGTATTAGCATTTGTAGCCACGCCTCTGTTAAGAAGTGACTTTCAGTATTAGCATTTGTACAATTGTACTACATTGTCTCCTTGTTCTATCTAACAAAAATATGAACTTTTCCTAGGCTCCTACACTCCTAGCTAAAAAGAGAAGGGCGTTTTCTGTTTTGTAAGAAGAATCAATAATGCCTAGTACAGATTCTCAAAACATCATTAGTCTTGTCTTGTTAAAGTGTATATCAATATCAATTCAGTAAAAAGTGCATTAAAACAATACAAAGAGAATCACGGAATTGTTAAAGAACTTTGCCAATTTTTTATTTTCTCTGTTTTAACACTGTTTAATGTGCAGAATGCAGATATGCTTAAGTTTGGATCAATGATCTTTATAGGAAAAAGAGTAAAAAGAATGTGACTATCACATTTATTGGTCCTAAATTTTTGTCATTTTTGTATATTCTGAATTTAGGGGTTTGGCATGAGCCTAACTATATAGGTTTGGATACAGCTACTACTGCTACAACACTACTCATAGTACTCGAGTTTGGATATCTCTATAGTCTTAGATTAGGACATTTTGCTTTTGTAATCTTTTGGAAAAGTCCCATATTATAAAAATACGGAGTACAAAGTATTGATTGTCTTTGTTAAATAAAAAGGATTAATCTGAAAAAACAAATCAAAACATACACTGATTTACGTAGTTTATTAACAATATGTTAGCTATGTTCGAACATGACAAGACAATTTTATTGATACTTGGGATTATACAGATTATATAATGAGATAGGTTAGTAACATAATCAGTTTTGTATAATTTCTACAAACTTTGTCTTACCTTCTCATTAATTCATCATCCTAATATATGATACGAGTACAGACCCATGAAAACTATAAAATTCTAACTCTAGAAGAACTCTCAATCTTTTTGGTAAATCTAGGATTAGAAAACAATATATATATATCTTACCCACCAAAAATATATCCTAAAATATATTGAAAATTTTACATTAGTTGTTTGAAATATGACTACCATAATGTTTTAATGATTATATGGTTCATAATTGACATATTTTTTCCAAGTAATTAGTTATATTACTTTATTAATGGTACTAAATAGTATTATCAATATTTTTTTTATTTATCAAATTTTTAGTTTCATTTATGTAGTTTTTATTCTTATTTTATAGTTTCTCAAAAAATATTTATTTTATGTTGGATTAAAATTTTCAAAATTTATATTTACATTATAGATATTATAAGACTAATTATATTCATTTTATAACGTGAAAAAATGAACCAATTATATTATATATTATTAAAATAATATGATAGATATTTTTCAAATGAAAACCATCCAAAATATATTCCTAAAATCTAGAATCCTAAAGCAAATACAAAATAACCTCCCGTAAAGGTATTGACTAGTGTGCACGAGGGCCTTACAAAGAGACGGGGGTATATTGTTTTTTGGCTTCTAGAATAACTAAAACGATGAGTTTTCAAGTGCGCAAAGCTCAGAAATGAAGAAATTCGCTAATATGTTGGTCAACAAGTTTTATTAAAGTGTGCATGTTTTTTTTGTTAATTCAAACAGCTCCATCTAATGTGAAATAGGGTCCAAATTTTGTAACATATCCAGCCCATTAGCAGACATAAATGAAACATTTAGGGCATGCTTGGATTTGGGGAAATGTATTAATAGGATAATAAAAGTCAAATTAAGCAAAATGAAAGTGAAAATAGGAAAGGAGAAGATAATAATGGTGTGATTATTAAGAAAATTATGTAGTGATGGTGTGGTATGAGCTGAAAAAAAATGAACTAATATCCTCATTTTGGGGGTAATAGTTACACTAGGGGGAGGGTGGGTAACTATTAATCTCATTATGAGGGTAATAATTCCTCCATCTCTCTCTTTTCCTCATGGCACAATTACCTTATTTCATTTGTAAACATCATGCCTACTACAACAACACCTCTAATTACTTATGTTTTTTCAAGTTTAACTTTTATTATTACCCCCTTAATATATTACCTCTGTAAGGAATATGTCTTGAATCGGTGACCGAGTAGGTACGCGATCATGTAGTCCATTGTACACGATTGTGTAGTCAGTGTTTTCATGTACTCTTCAATGTACACGGCCATGTAGTTCACGACACATAGTCATGTAGTTCCGCTACTACAAGACATGTCACACGATCGTGTGGTTTTGGTCCGTGTGATTATTAATTGGGTTTTGGCCCAAAATCAGTTTATGTTTTGGAGAGTTTTTAAAATACCCCTTAGGGTTACTCTTAGCCGAATAAGTTGAGTGATTATTTAGAAATCTGAGAGTCTTGTGTGTATTTCTCATCTATGAGATCTGAGATATATAACATTACAAATTTGATAGACAATCAATCTGTATTCTGTGATTGGTCTCAAATGTGTTCTGAATCTGTATTTTGTTTTCCCAAGATCAATAAAACTATTACTCTCGTCTGCCGGTGGACGTAGTCAACACATTGTTGGTGAACCACGTAAATCTGTGTGTGTTTTTCTTGTCAATTTTACATTCAATATTTGTTCTTTCTTGCATCCGTTATAACAACCCCCAATCCAAGCAAGGTTTAAATCAGAACAGGAAGGATAATATAGCATTATAAGTTTTATAACTACAACTTATTATTCATATGAAAGGATGTTCTATTTACTATGAGAAATGGAGAGGGAATTGACTAATTGACTAATATTTCTCCTTTCTCATATTAGTTGGCTAATTGGCTTAGTATATTAGTTTTGGTGCAAAAAATTGGATTAGTATATACTTTTACAAAGTATGTTTTATTTCCCCATATTTGCCCTATCATTTGTGATCTTGATTCTTCCAAACCCTAAGTTGGCTCTCACACCACCACTACACTTACCATTTCACCAGGTCACCAATCACTATCTCTACTATTCTCACTGTTTAAGGTAAAAATATCCAGTCCAAGTGGCTCAATAGCATGCTGACATGTGTCAGCCTCAGAGAGGTTCTGGAAGAACCAACCCTCTGATGACACGCGGTAGTCCAACCCATAAAAGGGAAACTGATCCCCAAACGCTATAAATAGAGGAAAATCATCATTTATTGGATATTCAGAAATATATTCACAAAACCTGAGCAATATTAATTGCAGAATTCTCTTGGAATCTGGGAGAAAAACCTTTACATTCCGCACTTTTATACATCCGTGCAAATTCTAATTTGATCGTTGGAGGCGGAACTCCACCCAACCGGAGTCTTCGTGATTTTGCATGCACATACGGTCGACAGATATTTTTGGAATTGTAAGTATCCCGAGGGGCTCCAAAAAACGCCGAAACACCCACCTATTGCCTTCCATCAACTACATAGACTATCACTATTTACCGTCCACATTATAATTTTACATCAACCAAATTTATTAAATTTGGATAGATTAGTTTATACAAAAAGTCGAATAAAACAAACTTTAACAATTACCGACAATACAATTCTAATCAAGATTTGACTTGAAGAGACGAGAGGAAGACACTACGTAGGATATAAACAGTCGCGAGTAGCATAGTTACTTGCAAATTAAATACCCAATTAGATTATGATTAGTCCTTCAAAAAGAAGATTAACAACTCCATTAATAACATAATAATAGAATGAATAAGACGGTCCACGTGGGAAGTAAGAAAGAGACATAGAATCGTCACTTTCACATACTCCCACTTTACAAGATTATATTAAAACACTAATTACTCCCAATTATTCAATTCAAGTACACTACACTACAGACTACACCCCATTTTTCTCCTTCCATTCCATTTATATATCTCCTCTTCATTTTCTCTCTCCTCCAAGTAAAACTTTCTCTTCAACTCAAATGCCCCTCTTATGGGCAAAGCTTCAAGATGGTTCCGGGCCCTATTGGGCTTAAAACAACCCGACCCGAATCCAACCCGGAAAAAACAACCCAAAGACAAGCGCAGGTGGAGCTTCGTCAAATCATACCGTGATAAATCCTCCACTAAACCCCCTCCTCCCTTGTCCGAAACTACGACTGCAATCAGCGGAGAAGATGACGCGAATAAACACGCAATTGCCGTAGCAGCAGCCACTGCAGCCGTAGCGGAAGCCGCTGTTGCAGCCGCACAAGCTGCTGCTGCGGTTGTCCGGCTGACTAACAGCGGAAGGTGTAATAGTAATAGTAATAATTATAATTTTAATGACAAAGGTGGTGCACTATCAGCGCAGGAAAGCAGAGAGCAATCGAGTTCTGCTGCTGTCGTCATCCAGTCCCACTTTCGCGGTTATTTGGTTAGTTTATTTTCTTTTTTCTTTTTTATTTTTTAAAATAAAACGGTGTCGTACCGTGTGTTTGTTTGTTTGTGAGTGATTGAGTGAGCTGGTTTGAAGTCGTGATGTATTTCGTCGGTATGAGTAAATGGTTTTCGACGCTACCAAACGCGGGAAATTGGTAACCCACATTCCCCCACTTAGAGAATAGAGTGAGTGTGAGAGTGTAGACTGTTAGTTTGGAAAGGTAGGGATAGTAGCATGTGCAATTTTAAGAGCTTTTATTTTTGTGGGAACTCATTATTAGTGGCTATTTAGTCATTTTGTGCTAGCTTTGCCAACTTATCCATTTTTACGTATTTTTTTTGTACGGGAGCAGTGGTATAGACGAGAATTGATATTAGTAAGAGGAGTTTTGTTCGCAAGGTTCCATATTAGGGGTTAGGGTGTTTTCTATAGAGTATAATGGAAAGTCACAACTCTGACAAGGAGTAATGATATAGACGAGATTTAATCTGTGGTGTTAGGGTGTATAGACAAAATTCGATATTAGGGTTGGATCATACTCCATAAAAATCAAGTCTTGAATTGTTTGATTGATTTATTAGGTTTGCTTTACAAGTCTATTTAATGCTTGGTTCATGTACTAAATTATTATTAAAACTTGGAAAGAAGACAAATAATCGGGATTTGGGAATAATTAACTGAGATTTAGGAGAATTATGCATATGTTATATGTAGTATTATATGTTCGGTATGCTCTTTCCAATTATAGGGGATATATTGGTAATTATCTATGTATGGACATTGATAATATTGTGGTACAAGTATATTTAATAGAACTCCTATAGTAGTTGTATGAATATAGGAAGAAATAGGAGTATATTGTAAGTTGGTGGTTTAATGGCTGATATTGCCAATACATGGATTTGGCAAAAATACAGCTCATGGGTTGTTTCTTGTTACCCTCAAGCAACTAAGCAAGTACCCAGCAATTGCTGTTGTACGTGCTTTCGTTGTACCTATACGGATTTTGTCGGCCCCATTTTGTGTTTTACTCGTCCTCTTCATCCTCTTCATTTCAATTAGTAATGTGACAATTAAATTTGGACAAATATGTTTTTTTTTTTTTTTTTGTTTTAATGTTCATTTGATCAACCAACTTCTCATCACTAAACACATGTAAGTTTTTGGATTAAAGTGGTGTCATAATTGGCGAGAATTAGATGCAAAATGAGACATATAGTCTAATTGGTCAACTTCTATTGAACACTTCTTTGTCTCAATGTCATCTGGTTTTTGGTTGTGGGGTTTAAGCTGGACATTTTGGACTTGCTGACCCTCGAAAACCACATGATTGCTGATTAATTAATGCTAGTTGATGATAACAATGCATTTTTTAATGTGTGCGTTGTGATTTTAATAATTCTGGACCGACAATGAATGATACACACGAAGTTTGTGTAATCAACTAATCATAGTTCATAAGGGTGTGTCATGTGTATAATTGAGTTATTATACTTTGGTCAAAATCCTACACTTGTTAGAAGTTTGAGTGTGGTTTAAACTTGTAGAGGTATTGTGATAATAATGAGCAAGTGATTTAGATTTGATTCATAAGACTCGAACTTATTAACAAGTCTTTACCTTCGTATTTTAAGATATCTAACAATTTAAGAACCAAAGTTATTTACGTAGTAACTTTTTTCCTAATTCAACTAATAATCTCTCCTTTTCTCTATCGCTTGTCATTTTATTAAACCATAATAATTTACTCCGTACTCATCACTAATAGACGTACGATTATTGTTTTGTATTATTCTGTACTCCATTGATATAACAAGTGATAGAGAAACTTTATCCAATGGTGATTATTCTTGTTACTTAAACTTTAGTGGCAACTACTGTCCATTGGTAATAACCAAAGGACAAATAGGGACTTTGACAAAACAAACATGCATACATTGGATCATTTTACTTTTCTTCTTGATTTTAACATGGAGTTGGCAAACTGTCCTTTTGGCTTTTGTCATCCCTTTTGTTCTAGCTCTTCAGCTTTATGGGATATTGGGGACTCTCTCCAAAGTCCCCACATTTTTTTTTGTGAGAAATGTGAAAGGGAGCCTCTGAATCACCATTTCCAATGGTGAAAAGTAATTAGTCTTGTAACAATTACACAAGACATTTGTATTCTATCGCATAGTGTATACAGTATACACTATTAAGCGTTATAGTCTCTCTGTTTCCAAATAAAAGTCTTACTTAATATGGAGTATAAAATTTTGTCTTTAAATTAAGTGAGATTTCTATTTAGGGTTAAAGTGAGTAAACATTGTTTTAACATTCATATTTAGGGTGTTGACCCTTGAGATTATGGGATCTAACTCTGGTACTAAAGAACAAATTTAGAGTAAAGTAATTGCATGAATACTGTTTATGTTTGGATTATAGTCAGACCTATGTTATTTTTTAGGCGCCTGCAGATCTGAACTCTGTATTAGTTGAATTGTCTCCGTCTTTCTTGAATATTTTGTCCTTTCCCTTATTTTCAGGGAAATTGTGCACAAAAAACTTCTCTTTTGGCTCTTAGTTGCCTTTTTTTTTTCAATAAAAAAATCATGTTATTTTATGCATTACTCTTTGGCGCCAAAAAATTTGTACATGTAACTAATTGATTGAATTGAAATGAAATGTTGGTTGTAATGTTTTTAGTTGGCTCAGAAAACATTGAATGATTAATCAACTTGTTATGTTAATCATACATGCAGGCCAGGAGAGCATTGCGAGCATTGAAAGGGCTGGTAAAACTACAGGCTCTTGTCAGGGGACACATTATGAGACGAAAAACCACCGAAACGATGCGTTGCATGCAAGCTATGCTACGGGCTCAAGCACGGGCCAGATCGGTCCGTGCTTATATCCCTGAATCTCCTTTCTCATCTACCAAATCTTGCCCAATTCTTCTTCACCCAGTAAGCATTATTCTTTATAAAGTTGAATTTGTAGGAAGCTTCTTTGAGTTATTTTTCTTAGGAATGTTGACAAAAATATGACCAATTTGCATTATTTTTCTACTCAAGTCAATGGTGCGATTGGTGGCAGTGTGGATTTGTTTCTTTATTCATTTTTTTTGGAAAATAATCAGTTGTTTAGTAGGTAGAAAAGGGGTGGTTGGAGTTGAAATTTTTATGATTGAGCTAGAAAGACTTGGCCAATCATGTTTTTGGTAGCTGCTTTTGCTTACAATTTGGTTCTGCAGGTTTAGTTTGACCATTTTATCAGTTGGTTAGCCAAATTTCATTATTATGGGTAAATCTGATGTATGTAAAATCTGATTTTAGCATTAGTCTTTTTCGTTAGCTTTAGCTTTGACAATGTACAAAGCCTCGATCTTTCGTACTGATAGATTGTTAACCTGATTCATTATTGATCTTAAAGATGCATGAAGTAGTATCAAAATCTAATCATTGTTGACCATGAAACTATGGCAGTACATTAGAATTCTCCCTGCTTCTTGATGAATATTATGATGTAGATTGTAGTCTAAACTTGATTGTGTTGGTGATCTTATGTGTATGAATTCTGTCTCATAGGGACCCCCAACACCTGATAAACCTGAGCTAGTTGTTCGAGCGAAAAGCATAAAGCAGGATCATTCACCAAACATTAAGGTACATGTACTCTAAATAGCTTATTATTAGTTTTGTCTGTCTAATGAACCACAGTGCCAAAGAGTTAAGGGTAAGCTTCGGAGAAATTAAAAGTCGTGCTATGATCTAGTTAATTAGTCTCAGCCTTCAATCTTTTCTTTTCTAATAGTTAAGCAACATGCATTGACTTCAATTCTTTTTTCTTGCCTCAGAGGAATAGTTCAAAGTCAGGCAGCCGAATGAACTCCATGAACCAGGATAAAATAAACTTGGGCTCGTCCTGGTCAGACCCTCGAATGGTTGACCCAATGTGGGACTCACGAGCTACAGCCTCCTCAAGAACATGCCTAACAGACGATGATCGAGCAGATAAAATCCTCGAAATAGACACAGGGAAACCCCATTACACCTTTAGAAGGAGAAGCCTCTTTGAGTCCTCTCACTCAGGCTTATTAACTTCAGAGCAACTAAGCCACAGCCAGACTACCTCAAAGGACTCGACAACTCACCACACAGTCCAAAGCCCCGTGTCATGTGAAGTAGTTCAATCCCTAAAACCTCTTTTACTTCCACAAGACTTCATCGAAGAAAAGAACTCATATTGCACAGCAGAAAACAGCCCACAATACTGCTCAGCTGCCTCTCAGGGAGGCAACAGTTCAAGGACATTCACTCCTACTAAGAGCGACGGTTGTTTTAGTGGGTACTCGGACTGTCCTAGCTACATGGCTTACACTGAATCAGCTAAGGCAAAAATGAGATCCCTTAGCGCGCCAAAGCAAAGGCCTCAGTACGAAAGAACAAGTTCGACTAAAAGGTACTCAATTCACGGCCTTGGCGAGCACCACCCAAGATCAAATGCACAAAGGGCTTCTGCTATGCATGCAAGTTTCACAAGCAAGGCTTACCCCGGGTCAGGTCGATTGGATAGGCTCGGCATGCCAGTGAGGGACAGTACAGTAGTTTACTACAGCGGGTATCTCAACTAGGACAGAGTTTGTTTTGTTTAAATTTCTTATTCTAATTAGTCTAACTTCTTCTTAGGATTAGTGTTTGTTTTCACTTTTTATTAATCAAGTGTTATACCACTCATATGGCTAACCCAAAAGAAGGAAGCTAATGCTTCATATTCAGTATTGTTGAACATAGATTGTCATTATTATTATTACTTATTAACTAATGTTATCTTATTTAATGTAATATAAAAAGAAGTACAATACACAAATGACCAAGATATGAGTGTGGTCCCTAGAAATGTATATGAATGAAGGAACATTATAAATCCCAAGATGAAGTTGGTTGAGATTGTGTATAGTTATAATAATATTGAAGTGTTACAAATAATAGTAAGGTAGGATTCCAATAAGGTTAGTTGTCGGTGGTGGTGGTAATCATTATTGGCAACACAGTGCCGGTCAGGGTACGGTCACATTAACCCATGTAGCCAAGCTGTATACAACCCCATCTTAAATGCTTGTGATTTTATGGTAATGTTTGTTATTCACTTAATAGTATTGTTGCTTAACAAGTACCACTTCACCCACATGAACATTGCTAATTGTACGCGTTGCATTAATTCCATAGGCTTTCATTCACCATCATGGGGTATTTTTTAAAAATTATAAGGAAATGATGAGGATTGGACAGCAAAGTGGCAAACAATGAGGTCCTAAATTTCCAAATTTCCCAACATCAACTGATGAAGACTTCCACTACTCCAGCTACATCTTTTCTTACCTAATACTTTCCTATTTTCATGGGATCATTTGAGTACTCCCTCCATTTTTAAATACTTACTCTATTTTTCATTTCCGGCTGTTGTTAAATACTTGCTCTATTTCCTTATTTGAAAAGCTTTTACAATATTTAATTCATTTATCACAACTAGTGGACCCACCATAAATCATATTTTATTAATTTCATATTCTCTCTCCTCCAATTCTTTCAACTACTTTTGTTTTTTACAATTTTTTATTCTTCCATCTACTCCACTACTTCCCTATTTTATTACTTTCTCTAATTTCTCCTAAAACTCCGTGCATGGAGAAATGGAGCAAGTATTTAAAAACGAAGGGAGTATATTCAGCAATTTTATACCATGTAATTTAAATTAACTAACTGATTTTATTTTTTTTATTTATTTATTTTTTATTTATGATTGATATTGTACAAGAGAAAGCCACACACATCATTTTCTTCTTCGGACGGGCGAAAAGGACATCATTTTCTTTATTAGGATTGATTGGTTAAGAATTTTAATGCTGTTTATTTAGCTGTTTGTCACCTGTTATTTTCCGTCTAGAGCTCACTAAAACCTAAACATAAATAACATCTTAAATTATACTCTATTACAAGATTTTGATCCAAACTGAAATTGACCTAGCCCATTCAAATTTAATGTTGATGTGAATAATGGACTCAATCAGCATTGACGTGAAAGACTTAACTCCTATGCTTGAAATACTAAATTGAAATCGTGTATTGTAGTATATTACTGCACGTACTCGTACTATTTAAGAGAGTCTTAACACTTATTCTATGGGGGAAGTCAAAGCCCGTCGAAAGTATTGCAAAGTCGAAACGGAAAAAAAAAAAAAAAAAAACCAAACAAACAAAGGAATAAAAAAGATGTTACACTGTTGCTGATTCACAACATATAAGTGATATAAGACAACAATTACACACCTTTCCATTTAATAAATCATTCTATAAACACACCGATTAAAAAGAAAAGGAAAAAAAAAAACAGGTATACGTATCACTATCTACTACTCCATGTACAATGATAACCGATATCCATCTATAAAAACCAAAACCGAAAGCGGAGAAAGAAGGAAAAAAAAAACATGAAACTAACGTGGAAGCGAACATATATTAACGCATAGAAAAGAAGGGGATTAGAGAATCTGACATTTTCTTCTCAGTTTCCACACTTCCATTTTGAAGTTGGCACACAGCTCAGGTAACGGCACCATTTGCAATGGTCATTTCCATTCTTCCCTTGGAAGAGCATTACCAATCCAACAGTAAATCTGTGACAAACAACACATATGATGATTATTTGATCAATCTACCAACAACATGAAACAGAACATACAGTGTGCAGTCAAATGAGAAGATGATTGACAACAGTTAACCAAGGACCAGTGTGGTGCTTTAGGTTTGGATAAGGGTCAATAAACATTAAATATGAGCAGCAAACACAAATTTCTGTATGATGTATGATCTCTCAAGGAGTCGGGGGGGTACCGCGGGTTGGCTCATATAAACGGGGAGTATGTATGTAAGATGTATGATCCCAAAGGAAAACACTTCTAGAACAAAAATCCAGCAGAGTTTCATCATAGTGAAAAGGCTTACCCAGCTACAAGCAGCGCTGCGGCAATAGCGAATAACACCAACTGATATGCCATGTATTTGGATTTCACACGTGCATGTTCTGGCATTTCGTGACGCTCCAGCCACCCAAATCGAGGACGTAAGAGTAATACAAACCCAAATAGGAATCCTGATATAAATCCTCCAATGTGTGCAAAGTTGTCAACATGAGGAAGGATCCCGACTGCCAAGTTGATTGCGATCATGATTATAAGTGTGAACAACGCAGCGGCCTACAAAAATGCAAAGAAACTCAGAGACTTATAAACTTGAGGTGTACTTCAACATATTTTAGGTATTCTACAATTATTGGTGTTTATAACATACTGTTATGTTAATAGCTAAAAAAACAATAACAAAAATTAGTTGATTCTATAGGGTTTAATATTGAAGCGCTAGTAATCAGCTACACTCCCAGACTGGATCAACTAGGTATCAAATAAGCACACAAATATAAAAACCCTTGTTCAATTTTACTTTGTCAGTAAGATCATAGAAACGGTTAGTCAAAAAAAAAAAAGGATCATAGAAACGGAGAATTTGTTACCTTGTTTGCATAGATTGTCCAATTAGTAAAGAGCTCGGAAAGCATTGCACCAAGTAGTCCAAACAAAGCACCAGAGGCTCCAACAGAAATTTGTTGTTGGAGAAAAAGTGAAGACAATACAGATCCACCAATACCTGTACACAGGTATAATATTCCAATTCGCACTGCCACGGGTAAAATAAAAAACAAATTGAGTGCCCAATAGTGTACTTTTACATTTAGTCAGCCACACATAGAGGATATAAAATAGGTTTTATGATTATAGAAGAGAGACCATACCAAATCCAAATTGTTGTTCAAGGCGGATACCAATGAAAACCAAACTCAACATATTCACAAGGAGATGGATTACACCAGCATGCAACCAGATACATGTAATGAGTCTCCAGCCTTCATGCTGATGTACCACCTTATCCCATTTAAGAGCCCCCAGTTTCACTAATCTGCAGGAGTCAATTACGCACCAATCAAAATAAGGACATTTTTAGGGTAACAAAGAAATGGTTTTGTGTGAGTGTTGACTAGTTTGATAATACTGCTATGCTATGGAATTCCAAGGAGAAATTTTCATACAACACAATAAAAATTCACAAAAACTTTCTAATGCTCATTAATAATATATTCTTTCCCATCTCAAAAACAATTCTCCAGAAAATCAATGTTAAACCCAACATAAACTAGAATTCTCAAATTAAACATACAATACTCATACACTACAGCTACCCCATAATGTCATTCTAAGTCATATTCAGTACAACCCATAGTGAGATCCTATTTAGTTAACTAATGCACATCAAAACAATCATCTTTACTGGTAACTAACACCTATAATGCCAAAGTATTGTTTAAAGTTTTTTTTTGCTAATTATAGCCGTTAGGGCTATGAATAAAAGGACTGATAAGTATAAGGACTAATAAGTATCCCAAACTGATATTAAGTTGAGAGTTTATGACAACGGCTAAGTTTGGTACTTCGGTTATATACTTTGAGTTTTTGATTAAAACTTCTCATTCATTTCCCTTGAGACTACGCCATCATTATTATTGTTTCAAAATAGATATTAATATTATACTCCTTTATAGTTGTAACAATCAAATTATGATTATCAAGGAGTTGAGAGAGTACGGAAATTAATTTTAACCCACAAGCTAACTTATTAGTACATGCTACAGTCACTTGACAGTTCAAATTAGTAAAGCTTTTCACAAACACACACTTCTTCCGTTAAAAGTATCTTGACTTACAATAGTAAACTTTTCCATTATCCAGCCAAGCACAATGACATAATGGTATGCATACAAGGAAGAAATATTCAAACAAAAAAAAAAAAGTCCATAGATATGTAAGCAATATAATACTTATGTAATGCTCACCATTCACCAAGTACATGCAACAATATCAACCAAAAAAGCAAGCAAGACATATTCAAAATGGTTTTCTATTTGCAAATAAACCCAGTCATCACATATACGAGTCAAAAACAAATCAAAGCTGATTTTTTTGCTTTTTAATATGGAATGAAAGCATAAAATTGAGGATCAATCCCATGATTGAATCAATAAAGACTGTTTGAAGGTGACAGCTTCATACCATGAATTAATAATCATACTCCCAAACACCTAATCAAACAAAAGTTCGTGAACATATACTTTAGCAGTAAAAATCAAGCAAAAGCAAATACTTTGAGATTACTAACCACACCAATCACTAAAAAATTTAAAACCCCAAATCAATTAATAAGAAACCCACATTAAATTTACAAAGATTGAGCAATAACAAGAAACCCCACAACAATTCTGTAAAACCACATACTAAATAAACTAAATTCAAGCTAAAAACTGACTAAATTCAATCTAATAACATTTATTATATATACTTACACTAAATTAGCTGAAAAGAAGAACAAAATCACAATAAAAGTCCAAAAGAAAAGCTAAATTCATCATAAACCTACACTAAATCAGCTTGAAAGAAGAACAAAATCACAATAAAAGCCCAAAAACAAGCTAAACTCAGTATAAATCAGCTAAAAGAAGGCAATATCACAAGAAAAAACATCAATAGATCAAAAACCCAGATAAAAACAACTAAAATCAACCCAAAAAAAAAGGGGGTAGAAAATTACGTGTTAGAAGAAGGGCCGAGAAGAGGATTCTCATTAAGAGGTTGAAAAGAGAAGCGACCCAGAAATCGAGCAACACAAGAATTAAACCCAAAATTATTTTTAGGGCAATTGTTGACGAACATAACAATTATAAACATGGCAACATTTGCAACAACAATCATGGGTACCAACCAAGATGTCCATTGTCTTGCAGAAGATTCAATGAGATACGCAGATGCTGCAACTGGGTAATTCGACTGATTTGAGTAATTAATGTTATTCACGTTAACATTTCTGCTCTTCTCTGGATCTCTACTACCCATGTTTAATTAATTGATTGTTTGATGGATTTTCTCTCTCTAAATTTTAACGGTGGATTGAAGAAGAATTGAGAGTGGTTGATATATGAGGAAGAAGATGAAGTGGCTGTTGGTGATTGGGTGGGTATTGAATTGAATTTGATGCGAGTCGGTGAAGTTACTCTTACAGGGGAGAAATTGGGAGAGAAGAGAGGAGAGAGAAAGTGAGAGAGTTTGAAGAGGTTGTGTTGTGATTGACTTAAAATTGATCAAATCCCAGCTAATTTGTCCTGTGTTTCTATGAATTTTGTAACAATTATTTATGTATATAACCATGTCTTAATCGCGTTTTATGTAATGGATAATGACCTATATGGTGAAGAGGGGAGAAGATCCTATCTTTACTCGGGTGTAAAATTACACTTGCATGTTGTTTCATATTTTAATGTGTTTTTTTTACTATATATATCTATTTATGGCTATTGTCATATTGATTAAGCAGTATTAGGATCCAGACTGTATATGAGTACTTTTGTTCATTTAATTATAAAAATGTAACTTGGTTTGCAAATCAATATAAATGTCATGTTGATATTATATTTTATGGAGTATGAGTAATTTTATTGATTAAGCAAGTGTATTATGTTAGTAATCACTTGAGGAGGAGAATGTGATGTGTGTAAAACTATACACTAGCCTAAATGTTGTAGTAAATATTGTAATTAGAAAAGTTCATAAGCAAGAGCCAACTTTAGTAAAAGAGTTTGAATTGAATTGTGATAAATGAAAGGATGCTTGGAGTTTTCGTTGGAGAGAAAATATAGCAGAACCATTCTGGGGTTTTTTCCATTTTACCTCAATCTCATCTTCGATTTCTTTGAAATTGAGGCACCAGGCTTCTATTTTATAGGGTCTCTTTATCTTGGTAGCTATTTGAGAAGTGGATATGATGATGGGGTTGTGATAAGAGATAAGGATAGGGAGATTGAGCGTGAAAGCATTAGGGTACAGGGTTCTCCAATTATCATTCCCATAGGACCTGTCCAAGCTAAGGTTTCAAGAATAGTAGCATTGTTTTCCCTGTTGTTTGTCAAGTATATCTCACCCCATGGGAAGGGAGATCTGAAAGTCCACACTCACGTTTCCATTTCATAAAATGAATAGCTGTTTTATTGCCTCACAGTTTTTGGCTCGAATTTTCGGTTTGATTGAAATCCCCTGCTGCCAGGATATTTCCCGGGTGAGCCTAGATAATAGCTCTCAAATTAAGCCAAACATATTGTCTTTCATTTATATAAGGTGAGCCATAGACAAACAAGGCATAAGAAAACTGTTTAAATTCATCATTAATAGAGCAAAAGAAATAGTTGACATCCTGAAACAAGACTTTGACATCTACATTTTTATTCCAAAAAAGATAAATTCCCCCCTTAGAATCTAGAGAATCTACACTACTACTATGCTGATAGCCCCATGAATGGAAAATTGGGTCTAGATGCATTGTAGATGATTTAGTTTCTGACAGAAACAGGATGTCTAAATTCGAGCAGTCCACCAACCATTTGAGGAAGGGAATTGCAGGGGGGTTGGCGGCAGCTAGTCCCCTACAATTCCACGCCAGGTACCTCATCCTTCAGTCGGGGGATGATTAGGGCCAGCCACCACGCCCTTAGAGTCAAAAGAGAATACATTGTCAGGTTCATCATCACAGAGTAACCGAAGCTACATTTCCTTGCACCATGGAAGTTCTTTCGAATTTTCTTCCTTGTTCTAGAAATTTCATAGTCCGGGCTAGATTATCCTTCTTCATCAAGGATGTCACGCATAGCAGACCAGCAATTTTATTAAGAAGCACCCTAACCTTCCTTTCTTTCAAGAGTTTTCGCGCCACTTTATTCCCTCTCTTCATCTAGCTGGTTCTAGGTGGTGGGAAATTGAGGTTGAAGTCTCATTTTGGTGGTTTATTCAGGTCTAAATCTAAAGCATCTTCGAGAGGGAAATCAGAGATGGATGAGAGGAATTCTTCTTCTGAAGTAGGGGAGTTTGGGGGATTTGAGATGAGCATATCAGAGTTGAACAGAGAGTTCGAGAAGTCTTGGTCAAGGCACGGAAGGGGTAGAGGCTTAGAGGGGGAAAAGAACAAGCTATTTGGATCGAATGGCCAGTGCCATCAGTGTCTATATCAGAGCTTTCTGAAGAAACAATCAATACCTCTTTTCCTTTCTATGTTGGGTTAGCCTGTCTTGGTAAGTTTGGAAGTTTGGTTTGAGGCTTAAAGGGGTCAGAAGGTAGGTTGTTTGGCATGAGGAGTTTGTCATATTTTTTTAGTACGACCCACTCGTTCAGGTTGATGGGAAAAGCAGATTCATGGTGGTGGCCTATCTAGGAGGGTATCTTTTGATTTTGGCTTGTTTTCCATCGGGACAAAGGAGGAGATTTAATTACTAAAAATGGTATGATTGCCAGAAGAGGAAAGGTTTAGAGAGAATAGATTTGGTGTGATTTGATTAAGGTTAAACCAGTTTAAATAGGGAGGTTTAGCACGGTAATTATGAGTAGTTGGGTGGTTAGGATTAACTAATCTTATTAACAAATTACTGTGCCCAAGAAAGGGAGTGGAGTTGGTTGGACTTGGTAACAGGGAAATGGGATCGGAGATACCATTATTAATTGCGCATGGGGGGAAAATGGCAGTTAAGAAATTGGGAGAAGCAAGAAAAAATTTGGGAAGTGAAAAGAGGGGTACCTTTTGGGTGATATGTAGGAGGATGTCGGTCTTTTTCTCTGGGCAGTGCTTGGAAATAGAAGTTCGCACTTTCACGAGGCATTCTTTTGAATTTAGTTGGTTGTTTGTGGTGGTGCTTAGATATCTTGCTTCTTGGGATGGCCACTCATCGACGGAGATAATTTTCTCCTTTTCCGAAAGCTATTTCCAGAAAAATACAACCTCTTTCTTGGATGGGAGATCGTAGCGATAGCATAGGGTTCAGGATTAATGGTCAGGGAGGGATTACTCAGCTTGAATTTCTTTTTTGGTTGGATATAATAAGAGTCTGGGTGGTATAGTTTTATTTTCTGAGTATGGTTGATGGTGAATTGGTTTGGTTTTATTTTTTTTGTGAATTTGTTTTTGGGTACATGGGTTGAACCACTCTTTCTTTCCAGGCTTCTTTTTATGAAAGGGGAAGTCTTATAATAGACTATGGGGGGTTCGATACGGAGGTTTAATCTTGTAGTTATGAGTTTCTCACAATTTCTCAGTGCAGCTATCTTTCTTGGGTTATGAGTTGGGTGCACGATGGGATCCCATAGCTTACAAGCTGATTTCTTGTGCCCAATTTTACCACAAATTGTGCAAGCAATGAAAATATTCTCATACTTAGTAGGTACCCACACCATGTTACCTGCGATTAAATGGCGGAATTTTTCCGATGACAACCCAGAGATCAGCAGAAGAGAAATCAATACTTGATGGGTCACTTCCCATAAGCCACGCTTTGAAGATGATAAAGGCCGCCTGGTAAGAAGCAGTCTAGATTAATTGAAGGTTCGTCCAGTGACGATCATCTGAACAGTGGAAAAAGAAGAGATTCCCCATTTTTTCCACCTTAATACTACCATTCTTACTCCAATGATCAGACACCCAGTCTTGTATTCTTTGTTGTGAGAATTTCCTATAGTCAAGGAAATTTCCAATTATAATTTGGGTATAGCATAAAAACGATGAAGTTGCTGAAAATCAAAAGGATATCTCCTCCATGGCTAAAGCAACTCATGAGGCTTTAAAAAGGAAAAATATCCTTGCTGACACTGTCATCAAGCAGGAGTATTGTATGCAAAGGGCAAGGACCAAATGGGACAGCCTCTCCGACCTTAATACCTCTTTTTTCTATAAATGTGTGACCACCAGAAAATCGAGAAATGAGATAAAAGGAATAAAGGATGGAGAGGGAAACTGGATCACTAAGGACAGCAATATACACTCATTATTTACTAATTTTTTTGATGAGCTTTTTAATGTAGGTAGCATGCAGGAGTGGAATAATAATGTTTGGGAAGAATGGAAGAACCCCATCCCAAGTCTAATAGATGATCACATAGATTGGCTTATGAAACCATTCTCAAAAACTGAAGTCAAGCAAGCGGCCTTCAGCATGAAAGGGCACAAATCGCCGGGACCTGATGGAGTCCCTCCCTCTTTTTTCCAATAAAATTGGAAAACAGTTGGCGACAATGTCTTCAACTCTTGTTCTGCTTTTTTCAGAGAGGGATTCTTACTCAATAAGATGAAAGAAACCTTCATAGCCCTCATTCCCAAGGTGAATAGTCTATAACTGGTCTTGAAATTCATACCAATCAGCCTATGAAACACTTCATATAAAATCATATCAAACTGTCTTGTGAAGAGACTCAGGGGCATCATAGCCTCATAGGTGATCTGGTTGGTGATAACCAAAATGCGTTTGTGCCGAGGAGATCAATAAATGACAGTTGTATGCTAAGCCACGAGATGCTTCATAAGATAAAAAAGAAAGCAAAGTCTGGGAAGTTCGAAAGCATCTTTAAGGTCGATCTTAATAAAGCATATGACAGAATAAGTTGGTCTTTTGTCAAGAATGTCCTCATCCAATTGAAGTTTCTGGAGGTTTGGATAAACTGGATAATGTTGTGCATAACCACGGTTTCTTATCATATTCTTATCATTGGAGAGCCCTCAAAAAAGATTATTCCAAAAGCAGGGCTTCGACAATCTCTCACCCTATCTTTTCATACTATGTATGGAAGTATTGTTAAGGAAACTCCACCATCTGCAACAATCTTCTATTTTGAGAGGCATCAAAGTAGCAAGATTGGGGCCCTATTTATCTCATATTTTCTTCACCGATGATGCATTGTTCTTCCAAGGCGGACATTGAGAACTTCAAAGTAATGAAGGAAAGCCTTGATAAGTTTTGTGCTATCTCAGGTGAGATTGTGAATCTAACAAATCCTACGTTATTTTCTCGAAGAATAAGCCAAATAAATTCAAGAAGATACCCAAGAAGACCCTTGGTGTGAAGGATAATGATCAAATGGGCACTTATCTAGGCTGCCTCATGGATGTAGATGGGAGGTCAACAGCTACATTTAATGGCCTTGTGGAAAAAATCACAAGTAAACTTTCCTCATGGAAATTTCTCAACTTCTCTCAAGTTGGGTTAGTCCTAATAAATGGCATTCTCGTAGCCATGGCTAGCCATCTTCTAAGTGCTTACCTCCTACCAAAATCAACCTTAAAGAAAATCTCTTCACTGTTGCTCAAATT